TTGGCTGATGAAAGGATCTGCCTGTAAGAGAATAACTTCCCTAATGCTATGTGGAGAGGTTTTTTTTATCATGTAGATATTGTTTTAAAATAGACCATAATAAATAAACTTTTTATAGATCAGTTCCTGTATATGAGGGGAAGTGAGGGGGAAGGTATTTAGTCTGATAGAGTCAAAACATTCTCCAGGACAAGAATGACTCAGGAAAAGTCATTTATTATGTCAATCACACAGGCTTGTCATTCATGAGGTATGGCCTTCAAACCAGGAAATAGAGGTGAGAGAGAGGGGAGTAATGCATTTGAAAGCTCGTATATGTTCCATGGGATAAGAGCTGTCCCACATGAGGATAGGGACCTGGGGCTTTAAAGGGTCAAAGCCAAGCAAATATTGGTGAAGCTATTATACCTCCTTAGACCTGAGATATAGTTTTATAGAGTCAGAAATCCCATTATACTGTTCTGTAGTATTGCTCTGAGCAGATAATTAGGAATCAAATTCAAAATAGAAAATAGAAATCTTCATGGCTCCCAACTCCAAAACATGTTCCTCTACTTTTTAAAAAATTATTATTATTAAGTGTATTACCACCCTGCTACTCACCCAAAGTTTAAAAGCTCTGAGCAACATGTAAACCATCCCTCTCCCCTGGTCTCCTTGCTTAAATGTCAACTCCTAACAATTCTATCTCCTAATATATTTTCCATATGCACCCCTTCCTCCTTTCTCATTTCTGCCACCTTAGTTTAGGCCCTCATTATCTCTAGCCTGAAACAATTTTCTCAGTGTCTCTCCTGTTCCCATACATCCTACACAGTGCTGCCAGATTAACTTCCTGAAGGATAGCTCTAAATCCATCACCATGTTGTGCTGAAAATTAGTCAATGCTTCTTCCACAGTCTTCAATCTAAAGGGCAAACTCCTTAGCCAAGAATTTTAATTTAAAGGGCCTCAGTGATCTGAACACAACCGACCTCTTCAGTCTTATATCCCATATGCATCATTACATACTTTAAATTAGAACATGAACTGTTGGCTATTTTAAAGGACTCTGCCTGTTCCTTCTGCCTGAAATGTCCCTCCCCCTCCATTTCTGCCTATCCAAATCCTTCATTCTCCAAAACCAGTTAAGACCCATTTCCCTTTAGAACCTTTCCATGGCTTCCTAGGCCAGTGCAATCTATCCTGTAAACTCCTATAACATTTAATCTATATGACTCTCACAGAACCTATCATAGATTAGACATTGAATTAGAGTTCATTTTTTATATATCCTATACCTCTTACGAGAACATGAACTCTTTAAAGTTAGAGACTATTTTATTCATTACAGGTGCCCCATATTATGTAGCATAGGGGTTCTAAACCTAGGGTCCACAGACCCCAAGAGTCCATCTACAGGATTCAGGGGGCCTTGGATGGTGAACCTGGATGGAAAAATTCTTTTTCACTAACCTCTAATTGAAAATTTGCATTTCCTTAAATTGTGGATGCAGGCAACAAACCAGAAAATATTCATAGTATCTGTGATACTGCACCCAATAGAATTACAGTATATTTTTATATCACACTGTACTGGTTAGTGATATCTCAAAATATCTTTTATGTTTATCATTACTTTAAAATTTTGATATTTTGAGTCCCTTCATTAGATCTTGTTGTTTGATGCATTAGTAAAGTAGCATTTTCTAACATATCACAAAATTTTAGAATTATTTAATATTTTAATGTAACTCATTTTCTCTGTAATTCCGTGGATTTTACTTTGTGCATTTAAACTAAGAAATAACCTGTAGGCTTCACCGACTACCAAGGAAATCCATGGCCAAAAAAAAAAAAAATGGTAAGAATCCCTCGGTTCTACTACCACCTTGCAAAATAAAAAGAAAACTTGTAGAAAAATAATCATAATACTATGTAGTTCTTGGTTAGGGCTATTAAAAAAAACATATATGATGAACTATGAAATATTGTATAAGCATATTGTTCATAAAAATTCATAGAGCTTTGATATTAGAAAAAGACCAATCTTCTGTCCCCTAGCCCTATTAAAATGGCAATAAAGATTGCCACACACCTCCAAGGACAATTTATTATCTTCCAAAGAAGATTATTCCATACATGGACAGGTACAACTGTTACACAGTTAATTTTGTTATAAATGATAATCTGGTTCCTTGCAACTTCTTGTCACTGATCTTCATTCAATCCCTATGGAACTACATAGAATAAACCCAATCCTTCCTCCACATGACTTTACTGTAAAGACAACCATCATGTTATCCTTCATCTATTTTCTCTGGGATTAATATTACTAGTTCCTTCAACCATTCCTCCTCTTATTATATAATTGTATGTCTGTTATCATGTCAACTGCTCTCCTCTGAGACTATCCCAATGTTTTTTAGTCCCTCTTAAAGTGCGGTAATTCTCAACTCAACACCATAATTCAGATGCATTGTATTGAGCAGGGAGTTCAATGGGACTACCAACTTTTGAATGCTACGTACTGTAATTCTAGTAATGCCGACTGAGACAGCACTACCAAATATTTGGCAATATTCATCATGCTGACCCCAGTGTACTTTCTTAAAACTCATAAGCTTTTTTTTTTTTTAATTCATGTGTCTGCTATTTGAATTTCCTTCAGTAATTATTTGTGCAGCTAGGAGCTTTGGTCACAATTTCTGGACTTAACAATAAGATCTATTAAATTTAATCTTGATGGGTTAGTTTTAAGTTCATATTTTCAGTTTGTCAAAACCTTTTGAGTTTTGTTTCTTTCATACATTTTATTCAGTGTTCCTCCTAGATTTGTAGAATCTGTAAGTTTGATGAGCATACTTTTATCACTTCATATTTATACTTAATATATTATATACATTAATACACACTAAAAAAAGCCTGAAATTCTGATGCCTAAAATATATATACTATAGAAAACAAAGTTCAGTGAAGTACATAAAAACATTATTTGATAGTAGGAATATAGTGATAAAGTACTCTTAAATGAGAAGTCTCATCTTGCAAGTGCCTCTCTTGTATCAAATCTTCAACACAAAATAATAAAGAGGAAGAACAGAAAACTAACCATGACTTGCAAGAGAAAAATTATTTTAAACTCCCTAGGAGTTCACACTGGAAAAAAAAAAATCACCACAAATCAGTTTCTTTATTTTTGCATTAAAGAGCTCTCTAAAGAATTTTGAAAACCACTTTCTTATAGAACTAAACCATCTTTTTGGTAAATCATAATTAAAATAATCTAGCAATATCACTTATTCAGATTATTGATCTGACAGCTTCATTTATTCTAGAACATATCCAAGCAGGGGAAAATAAAGTGTCTGAGCAGCCAGAAGTCCACAAACAAAAGATCTTGTATATTACCCAGAATCTCTCAGCAACTCACCCAGACATATATGTTTATATTTTACTTATCGTCCAGGGGTTGTGATCATCTATTTTCATAATTTATAAATGAAAAAGAAACAAATTAGAAATTATTCTCAACAACGCAAAAAATAACAGCCTGCAATGTGATATTGAAGGAAGAGAACCCAACATACACACAGACACACAGACACATAGACACACACATACGTATGCACCAAAAGATACCTATATCAAGCAGACACAAGAACTCAAAAGTCTCATAATTGCAGAGAAATACCATAAAGCCAAATAGTCCTAATTATCTCTATGATCTCTGGGGGCATCATTACATTATAGCCTGATAAAATAATTGACATTTATAATATGATAATCATCACAGTACCCCAAATTTATGTAGTTTACTGCTCATATGAGACTTATACATTCATTATTATAGTTAATTCTCAAAATGTTTGAGTTACCCAGTCAAGTATTAGTGCCACACCAAATTTTAAATTTTGTGGCTCAGGGAAACTGAAGAACTTACCCAGGGTCACTTAACTATTAGACAGGTATTGGAGTTCATAGTCTACTGCACCATGACCCTGCGTCATCAAAAAATATTTACATTTTTGTGCCATATCATCTGGTTGGTAAGTCAGGGAGGTGTGTGATACATGTTAGAAACTTCCTTTTGTGCTGATGTGATGGACACATCCACAGAAATTAATTTGAAACTTTTAAACTTTTAATCCCTTATAGGAATAAAATTAAGTTACATGAAAAATTCCCGTATATCCCCATTTCTCTACTGTGCCACAGAACTCTAAATTTAACTTACAGTGTTAGCAATAAATCCAGAACCACTAACGACCCTACATTTCAAAGTCTAAAATCTGCACATAAAGAACGAAAGAACATACATAGTACAGCAATCACTTAGACTTGATTTATTTAATTTAAAAATATTATTAGAGTCTTCTTTTGTGTTTTTTAGGACATAGGTGAACCTAAGTCAGCCTAAGAACATCTCTTGAGAGCATAGAGGAGGTGGATGTGGGATGATGCAATAGATGTCATGTGTCACAGTACTTCCCTCTTGAGCATTTAGCTTTGACAAATTAGAAACCTCAAATCTCAATTCTACAACATTTGGAGGTAAAAGGATAATATTTATAAACTTGTAATATTTATAAAAAATAAGGAGAAATAAATTAGTTTTGTTCTTATTTTTGTTTGATTTTCTTTTCTTTTTAAACAGTTGATCTTTTCATAATAAAACACTATCTATCAAAAGGAAATAAGGGAGAAAAAATGAAAAACAAAGTTGCAGCTGCAAAAGTTCCCATACTACACCTTTTTCCAGGGTAAAGCTTGCAGTCTATTCAAAACCTTGATTTGTTATCATAAGAACAAAATAAAATACACAAAGTTTTAGAAAAATGGAGCTATCTGCTTAATACTCTCAATGGATCACAATTGGCCATCACCATGGTAACCTCTGAATAACTTTTTCCTAGCTAGTGCCAATTATGCACTGCTTTGGCCCTTGAAATCCCACTCAGTTTTTTTAAAGGCCTGGAATCTTTGAAAGAATAAAGCCCAACAGTTAAGTCCACACATACCCTCTTGTTCAGTCCGAGTCATTTCCTCAAGCTTCTTCTGTTTCAGTGTGTCCACCACATCGGCAAGGCTCCCTTTGCGGCGTTCTGGGGTTCCAAAAGTAACACTGCTCATTATCTCGCGGTCCCGACTCCCTTCGTCAGGCTTATGTGGTGAGGTAGAGGTATTTCGGAAGGAATACAGGGAACATAACTTATTATTCTCTGACTCCTAGAAAAACAAAATAAAATAAAACCATTAGAACGTTTGTTTCTTTGCATACCATTGGAGAAAAATCCCAAACTCAGAATAACAGCATAGGAGGCTTAGATGGACAAAAAATATGAACCATTTCTGCTTTAAAAATACTAAACATTAAAGAAGCAATTATTTAAAACACTCTCCTGAAATTGAAGATTAAAACCATGTATTTTTTTTTAATTAGAAACCAACCTAAGTGTTTCAAACCCTTAATTTTAAAATGGACACTTTGACTTCTTACTCATTTACAACCTTCATTTAAAATAGTTTGGATTCAATTATTAAGATTGGCAAAGTTTTTCTTTTAATTGGCACTTTTGTTAAATGCTCTTCCCACAGACTAAAATATATGTACATCACAGTAACATTATCCTTGAATTTAGAAATAGAGAAATTAGCTTCAATATCTAATGTTAATTATTCAACAGAAAATATATAAAATATCTAAATCAGTGCCAGAAAGTTCACCAACCTGAACATTTTTGTGTGCTGGGGTTTGAGGAGAATCATTTTTTTCCCTAGCCATACATCTTTCAAAGTTACAAAAACCTCTTTCTATTCCTTATCTTTACCACTTACACTTTAACACATAGTCACACACATTTAAAAGTGGTTTTGTTTTTATGTTTGTTTGATTGATTGTTTTTAAAAGGACAAGTCTGTTACAGAGACATTTGCACAAGAATTACTTCACCATACAGAGAAGGTAGCTAACTGGTAAGAGGATTAGATCCATCTGTGAGGAAAAAATGCAAAACTGAGATTGAAAATAATAAGCACCTAAAAGTTTATAGGAAGAAAATGTTTTTACAGCTCTCTAGATCAGAACTGAGGGTTGGAAGCAACTGTTATTTAGCTACAGCCCATCAGTAATCTTACATTCATTCACCTCATCTGTCTGGGCATGAGTATTTTCTTGCCCAATAAAACATCATATGAGGGGCGCCTGGGTGGCTCAGTTGGTTGGGCGACTGCCTTCGGCTCGGGTCATGGTCCCAGGGTCCTGGGATCGAGCTCCGCACTGGGCTCCCTGCTCAGCAGGAAGCCTGCTTCTCCCTCTCCCACTCCCCCTGCTTGTGTTCCCTCTCTCGCTGTGTCTCTCTCTGTCAAATAAATAAATAAAATATTTTTTAAAAAATCATATGAAATAAAAAAAGCATCTGGCCTTTGTGATTCTCATCAGAAACATGAACATCTTAACTGCTCCTATATCTCTCTCCCCCTTCACAAAGAAGCCCAGCAAGCTTCAAGAACTAGAGGAAGAAATAGGAGGCAAAAGTTACGGTAATAACTGGTGGGAAAGGGGGAGAAAAGAAAAATGGAGCCCAGACAAGTATAGGTTTCAAGATAACTGTACCCAATAAATGCTAGGCAATTAGTATTTTTGTCACTGTAGAAGATTAAATAAACCTTGTTTTCAGGGCTGTTGGGAGCATATTATGAGATAACATTTGTAAAGCACTAGGCACAGGACTGAGCTCTTACGAGATGGTATTTAATAAGTGGTGGGTACCATTATTCTGATGGAAGGAGCAGATCTAAGGATGGAACCAAGGCAGTTCTCTTTCCCTCTGGACCTAAGGAATTGTTTAGTAAAAAATGTTATGACTCTTAAAGTAAATTGAATACTGTGAAGCCTGAGTATATACTAAAAACCATTGAATTGTATACATTAAATGGGTAAATCATGTGGTATGTGTACTATATCTCAATAAAGCCGTTAAAAAATATAGTAAGCCAAATCAGTCTTTTTTTTTATTCCCAGTACTAGCACAATGCTTAGCACAGAACAGATCCTCATTACATTTGTGTACTGAAATAAATTGAAAAGGATAAAATAAATGGAGTAGGACAGAAAAGAGAGTTCCTCTTTACCTTGCTCCTAGATCTAGGAAAGATGTTTTATTTCATTTAATGTTTACAATAACTCTATTGAGTAATGCAGAGGAACCCCTTCTTTTAGATACCAGTCATGGTTAATACATGACTTCTTGGGATGGTCAGTTCATTCTCTGCTTTGTGCAAATGAAAACTCAGAAATGGGGGCACCCAGGTGGCTCAGTCAGTTAAGCGTCTGCCTTTGGCTCAGGTCAAGATCTCAGAGTCCTGGGATGGAGCCCTGCATTAGGCTTCCTGCTCAGCGGGGAGTCTGCTTCTACCTCTCCCGCTGCCCCCCCACTCATGCTCTCTCTCTCTCTCTCTCTTTCATTCCCTCTCTTTCAAATAGATAAATAAATAATCTTTAAAAAAAAAAAGAAAAGAAAACTCAGAAATGTGTTTTGATCTCTTAGTAACGTCCTTATCAGAAATCTGACCTAGACTTTTTTGAACCAGTATCACCATTGGATCAATCATGCTTCCATCACTTTCATTTCAAGTGCAAACTAGTCTCATATCATAGCCTATAAATCAAAAACAAAAACAAAAAAACTCTGACTCAACCTAAGAGATTAAAGGCCAAGTCAAAACAACAGTCATGTGGAAGAAGGTTACCTACAAATGAGCCACCATTGAACATACGAAAAAAGGGCTTCGCCATCACTCCTAAATTGAAATAGAAAGACATTAGGAGTGGCTCTCCTGCCTGAGGAACAACTTTAAGTTGTCCTCAGAGCATTTAGGCTTCATACAGTACCATTTTTTTCTGTCAGGTCTAATTTTAAACAGTTTTATTTACTCATGTCATTTGTGAGATAGACTGCTTTCTTTTGTTTTGTTTTGTTTTGTTTTGTTTAACTTAAGGGAATGTAGCCCACTGCCATCCTACATCACAGACAATCACCATGGGTTCCCACACCACACTGTTCTCAGTCCCATAATCTGTGCAAAGTGGCTCAACACTTCCAAGAAGCAGAGAGCAAGAAGCTGAAAAGTCATGATTTTTCCAAAGAAGTGACAAGAACTACTTGCAATATGTGATATTGAACATGACAGGCACCAACTTAGGCAGTGGATAAGATCATCGATGGCGTAAGTCATCTAAGTCATCTTATACCATTCTCAGGAACAACGGAAAGGTGCAAATTTTACCATTTCTGGCCCTCACTTTTTAACTTTCTAAAACTTAAGGAATAATGGCCTCTCATGAATGGAGGCCTATAGCAATTCATCTGTGTAAAGGGGTACTTAAGTCCAAACACTTACAACAAAGACAATACTGTTGGATAAAAGACGGTAATACCAAATTAGAAAAAGAAACTTGTCAAAGGATCTTTTTTTAAGGAACTAGGCAATTTTAAGTTTTCCCTTAAGTTTTCTTAAGGGAAAAAAGTTCAACTTATTATGGAATTTCCTAAAAATGAAACAAGTCCTATGAAATATCAGTTTGAGGAAAGATGCCCAATGATGATATCTGTCGTGTCTTGATGCATGTCACTGCTGCATAGCTGTGGGGAGATTTGAGACAGTATTTCCCTAAAGCAGTGGTTCTCAAACTTCAATGTTTACAATTCCCTAGCAAATATGTTAAAATGCAGATTCCCTCACCTCCCTCTATACCCCCCAAGGGTGGGGGCCCAGGAATATGGAGTTTGATAAACACCCCAAGTGATTCCAATGTATAGGTCCTTTCATTCTGATGCATCCCACTTTAAGAAACACTGATCCCTATGAAAGCAATGAAATAAATGCTTTGCCTAAATGCTACAATATGGATATAATTAAGAAAATTTTTAAGAAGGCTGGTTAGTTTTAATTTTAAAAAAATAACATAAAGGAGATTACTTTTCTTCTTTTGTTCTTTCTTGTGAAAACGACCACTGTACAACATGACTAAACAAATGAACATCACAACAAGCAGAGCATATGGGGACTGAGTTAGCATTAGTTCATTCAGAGGCAATTTACTATAAATTTGTTTTCTCTCAACCCCAACCTCAGTGGCACCACCAAACCTAACAGTGAAGATAATTTTTGAAATATTATTTAAAAGGATCCCAGCCCCAATACAAGAACTAAAGCAACATTGGTTCAGATTATCTAAAGAGCTTTTTGCTGGAAATCAATTAAATACAATACAAAATGATATGCAGGTGCCTGAAAAAGCACACAGTTAGTACAAAAAAATAGTCATTAGGCAAAGTTTCTAGAAAACACAAGCAATTTTCACAAATTAAAAACATTTAATTAAGATGTTTCCATGTTTGAAGGGGATAGAAAAGTAAATATTAAAGACAAAACGTATGTGAGGTGATGGATGTCAACTAAACTTACTGTGGTCATCATTTCACAATACATACGTGTGTCAAATAATTACGTTCTACACTTCAATACAATGTTATTTGTCAATTATATCTCAATAAAACTGGAAAAACATTTTAAAATAAATATTGCCCAGATCTTTCAGAGGTTGTAATTCAAAACAGATTGCTCAGCAGTGGCAACAGAAAAACGTTAGACTTAAATCGCCTTCTCGTGGTACTGTGAATATATCAAACACACGCAAATTTTTTAGCTTTTGTGCTTCATGCTCCTTTCCTCTAGAATGTCCTACATTCTTTTTGACTATTCACTCAACCCCTCCTCAAAGCTCAGATCAAATTGCATTTCATCCTTGAAGTCCTGCCTGACTCTACTGGGCCTCACTATCCTCCTACCCCCTGAACTATACATTGAACCACACAACTTGGCACTTAATAATATACTAGAATAAATTATTCATTATTATTTTGCATGTATTAGTCATATTTGCAACTAAATTTTAACACTTGAAGGATTGGGGCCATGTCTCATGTTTCTTCTACATACCCCCCAGAGCACCCAACAAAATGTTAAGTACATCATCAGCTGCTGAACTTGAAACAACTACTCACCAAATACGTCAAAAATAATTTAAAAAATAAGGCTAAGAGTAAAGATTTGTTCTAATAGTGGCAGGATTGCTTATTTAAGCAAAATATTGAGAACTGAAATATTAAAAAAATAAAGGATTCATTTAATAAAAGATGATATAGCTACACAATGGAATACCA